AGAAATGGTCAATCAAATGAATATCTGAATGTTTTAGAGAGCGAAGTCTGTCTCTATTTAAAACTTTTGTCACCTGAAATCTGCTTCTTAGGGTCTGCCCATCCCATTTTGGAATAACGTACGTAGCTTGTGACCCCATTGTCCCATCAAAACAATTTTGCTTGAATGTTGTCAATGAGTGCACTCAGACAATTTGCAAATCAACACTTTATTCCCTGTGTTTACTTGAGTAATATTCTCCAGGGTGTGCATGACCTGGCAGACTACATCATTCATTCTGAATTAATTGCTTTGGATTGAAATGATGGATCAGTGTTTGAATGTACAAAAGCTGGAACTGAAAGTCTAATATTAAGCTAAAATCTTTCCCCTTCAGCTCCTTTCTCGGGTCGTAGTCAAAGAGATACAAGGATGGTGTGGCTATTCTACAAGAAAGAGAGGGTATGTATTTGCTTGTTCTTACCACTGTGTTCTAAGTACTTCTGTGGCTGGCATTGAAAGCAGCCTCCCTTCTTAGGTATATTCAGGGCTGGCAAAACATGCATTATGCTCCATACTGGGTGCATCTACACATGCTATTAATATTATAAAGCCATGGGCAGATTAATACATAAGCCAGCTGGGCCTGGGCCCAGGGGCCCCTGCCTTGGTGTGGATGAAACTGGTGGCCAGGTTGGGCCAGGCGTGCATAGTGTGGCAAGCCTTGGCTGCTGGGTGCTGTTTGCCAGGCACTGTTGCAGCTGGACTGAGCCCAGAGCTCAGTCTGCACTGCATATGCCTAGTGGGCAGCAGCTCTACACCCCTGGCGCCAGCTCCAGCGTGGACCTGTGAGTGGGGGCAGCCACAGCTCCTGCTCCAGGCCTGGGGGGCAGTGCGTTGCACTCTGGCTGTTGCTCCCACTGTGCCAGTTGGGGATGGAGCGCATGACTGCAGGGCAGGGCACAGGTTGGGGCAGGGGGGCCCTGGGCTGTGGGGAGGGGCGCCCCGGGCCAAGGGCCACAATGAATCTTCATCTGCCCCCATATAAAGGTTTACTGGGCAGTAAAATACTGGGCAGTAAGCCTTCCCTAGGAGCATGGCTACACTTGCCCGCTGTTGGCAGCAAATCGGGTCCCAAGGGGATCAGCCTGATACAGGGATGCTCCTATCCTGCTCTGACCCCCTGAAGCTCCCCTGGGATGCTAATCTGGGGCTTGGCAGGGAGCATAGAGCCAGCCCCCATGCACACAGGGCCCAGAGAGCTCTTTCAGCTGCAGCGGCAGCTGTTTCCTTGCCCCATATACATCAGGAGGAGTCCTGATGTGCAGGGGGCTGGGAGACAGTTGCCACTGCAGAGCTCTCCTGGCCCCCTGCACATAGGAACAAGCTCAGTGGGGCTTCCCCACCCAGCTAGGGGCTGGTTTGGAGCTGCCCCAGAAATGGGACAGCTCCCAGTCAGCCACTAGTTGCTTGCTGATTTCCCTGCCCAGCCCAGAGCTGGCTGGAAGCTGCCCCAGAAGTGGGACAGCTCATGGTCAGTAACTGGGTGTGCGAGGAAGCAAAAAGCTCCCCAGTCATAGTGCTGCTTGGCTCCTGGCTCCCCAGGAACTGAGCAGCACTGGGATGGGAGTGTGGGGGAGGACGGGAATGAACAGAAAGCTACCCCATCCTGGTGCTGCTCCTGGTGGAAGTCAGGAGCTGATCAGCGCCAGGACTAGAGGAGTTCCCCATACTCTGTGGCCCTCTGGTGTTGGGGCTGACCAGGAGCAAATTTGTTTTCCCGGGAGCACAGTATTGACTGCTCAGTTAGGTTCCTACCTGTATTTACAGGTAGGAGCTGAAATGGTGAACATGTGTAGATGCACCTTTACTACATAGTAGATTAGTCTCTTGTGTAAAGCATCTCATAAGACACACCCACTGAGTACATGCCAGAAAGGAATCCAAAGGAATTTAAATAGAAAAGGGGTGGACTGAATATGAAAGCTTCCTCTATCTGCTAATAATCATCTATCTCAATGCAAAGAAAGAATAGGTAGTGCAGCAGAAGTCAGGCCAAGAAAATAAAGTAAAAAGCCTACCTTTGTACTGCTGCATTGCCAACCATTAAAATGAAGATTATTAGAAATGCTATAATTAAAGAATCCCAATGTACAATACATGACTCCCTTCTCCTTCCATTATCCAGTCATACTCAAAGGGAATCTGAACTGCAGGAGGACCTTACTGGAATGTCCCAAATCCTGCAAAACCCTCTTAGTATTATTAAGCAAGCTATCCTTGTGTATTTTTGTAGCTCGTGTGTGGTACTAACACAGTCAGTGTTAGATGGGAAATAGTTTGTATTGTGAGTATCTCCAGTATTTTTCTGTTGTAGCTGAAAGATGATCATGAAAATTCCATCTGATTTATCTTGATTTTAATTTTGCGTGGCATCTGCAGGGTAAAATGAGAGGGGCTTCTGGTATGTGGATAATGAGGGCTTTGCAGAAGCAGAGACCCAAGCCTTGTGTTTCTAAGGTCTGTTCATGTCCAGTGTATGACTTTGACAACAGCATGTGCTATGAGTGATGTTGCAAAAGGAGCATGCCGTCTTGTAGCATAGTAAGAAATGGTGAAATAGACCTATTTCACTTTACATGCAGGGATGCAACTGCATAACTGCAATCTTCGGCACTTACACAGTTTTGATTCTATTTCTAGCTGTGGTGAAATAAAATCACCCTGTACTCTGGGGGAGAAAGTGAGCCTTCCACATTTTAACCCAAATGCCCATTGATTAGAGGACTTAACCAGGTAGGTTCTAGGCCCTTCTCATGAAGGGGAGACTTGAATCTGCAGCTCAGAAAAGTGCCTTTTATCACCAGGCCACAGGTTAGGCATTATACAGACAACTCTCTGGCCCTCCTCAAGTTGGCCCAATATACTTTGTATTTAATATTTCTTGGATTAAAAGTACTGAGAAAGCTTCTGACCAGGCTGGAATCTAGGGCCACCTTCCCTTGCAGGCAAAAATCACACTTGCTGAGCCACATACCCTTTAGCTTACTTTTTTTTCCCTCCTGGTCCTACACAACTCCTTGCCTTGGCTGCCTAATGGGATGGACCATCCTCAAGAAGATGGCTGGAGTCAGCCTTGCGTAACCTGTGGCTAGATGGTTAGAGCACTGTGTACACAGATTTAGAATTAAGCTGTTTCTGGGTTAGGGGTGGGGCTGAAAGCCACATCTCCCGCTTTCTAGGGAAGTATCCTAGCCTTAGGTTTTTGGCAGAAAATATTGTGGAAATTCTAGTTTTCAGTGACTGGTCTGTTACTCTTTGCCTCTTATTTATTATGTAGCCCAAGGTTTGCAACTCTGCTGCCCCCATAAACCTGATGAGTGATTGTAAGAAATACTAAATCATTAATCAACTATTTCCAGATTAATTAAAATTAAGGTGCTAATCATCTTTGAATCAGTGCATTGTCCATAAAGACTCCTGTCCTCCAATTAACAATTTTGTAGACTACGTTTCTCAATGACAGGCTTAGATCTTTGATGGAAAAATTACAAATCATCCCCTGCTGTGTGGTGATGAACTGCTAAGATCTGACTTGTGGTGGGCAGAAAGCTCTTGGGAGACTGGCACACAATATTTCTTGGTTTATGTTTACAGGTAAACAGCTTTTTTTGATAGCAATGTTCTGGGGTTCTGCAATGGTAAGTTTGGCCCAAATCTCCTCAGCCCTTGGTGCAGGGTGACAAGTCTCCTTCCTGGTATCTGGGGTATCTAATCACAAGCAGTACACTTCCAGCTTCCCAGACAGCTGCACCCTGCCTTAAAATGAATGGGAATAGTTTGCACATCTCATGGCAAAAATGGTGCTGCTCCTCTGGCATTTGGTCACTGTGACACTTCAAACCAGTCTGATTCCTTAGGTAGGAAAGACAGTGACACGGACCAGTTATGTTCTGCTGGACCTTACCTTGCATATGTAGCCTTTCCGAGTCAAAGTAGCAGCTGGGAAAAGTATAGCTATAGTTGAAGTACCTCTTGAAGTCTTACCACATGAAATGCATTTGCAAGCTATTCTGAGCAAGAGAAATCCCCATATAGTGATCCACAGTCCTCCCATTATACACAAGCAGGAAGGGAAGAGTTTTGGAAGGTGATATACGTCCCCTACATGTCAGACAGTTGACAACTTTTGTGCCTGTCTTTTGGTCCCTGAGCTAGGAATTCTAACCTCTGGCATTCCCCAAGCCAGATATTGCGCCCACACTCCTTTTTGGTTGAGGTTCCAGTTAGCAGAAGCTGAAGCCACAATGGTTGCTGCAGTGCTGCTGTCCTTTTGCTTTAGAACACTTGGGGCATGTCTACATGAGATACTGCGTCACCATAGTGACAAGCGACAACAACATAGTGCTGGCAGGTGCAAACCATGCAGGGATGGTGTACAACAGTGGGAGCAAGGGATTGCGCAGTAAGTGCAGCAAATACTAAATTACTGTGCACTAACAACTGTGCAGTAGGGCACAAAATTAGACATACCCTTGGTCTCTTGAAAGTGTTCTAGCCACCCCAGTCCCATTTGGTGTTGCTTCCTGGGCTGTTTCTTGGATTATCACTATTTGATTTTCTACTGGACTCTAATGAGCAAGTGTGAGGAATTTTGTTCTCTGGGCCATGCACTAGGCTTTTGCTTTAGCTGGAAACAAAACAGGGGAAGCATCCCTGCCAACTTTTCTTCCTTGCCTGTTTGTTTCTCCTTTTTCTCTTGCACAAGGGTTCTATTATACTTGAAACTTACAGTATGTGGCTGGGCACTGGGGTGAAGACCACATAAAGATGCAAACTCTACATGCTGGCTTTGGATTCTGGCATAGTTTGGTTACTGAACATCTTGGAGCTTTTCCTGTTTTTGGTTTCAAGCTCTGTAGAAGCAGAGCTTCAACTCTGCTGTCCACGTATCTGTGGTAGTAACTGTTAACATGGCTTAAGCATAATTCAAAGGTGTACTGACTACAATCTTTAAAAAAAAAAATGTTACCAAAAGGCACAAACACCTGACTGGATGTACTCTGTGGGTCATTACATTAATAATCCTTATGTTCATTTGTTTGTTTCTGCAGATTTAAAGAATTTTGATGGAGCTTCCCCATGACTAGCGGAGACAGAGGAAGATTGAGTGGAGTATCTTGGAAGGCTCGTCTGTGGCTCAACTCAAAGTGGAAGCCAAACAAACTGGGAAGAGTAATAGGCCCTCAAATGAAACCACACTGGACTTTTAATACTTAGCAGTAATTTTATTCAGGGATGGGGTATGCTTGAAAATTGAAGACTGAAGGGAAAAGTGTATTCTGGGCCACCTTTAGGAATAATTTTGGGCTCTGTCTCTCAACAGCTGTTCCTGCTGCCCTTTTCATTACCATACATTTTTATTATTAAAATGGTGCCTAAAATATGTGATGCTGTGGATCATTTTGTTGTTGTGCGAGCTGTAGGGGAATGAACTCTTCAAAGTGGCTGAGTCATGGCAGCTGCTGTCTCCCCCTCCCCCATATGTTGGAATTGCAGAGATCTAGTATATTCCTTTTTGAGGTGCCAGCTGTTTATCAAATGGACCGTAGTCCTCAGGTTTGATCCTCACTCATTGCATTTCATGTATAGCAACTCATTTGTTTGCGAAACAGAGCTGACAATTTTGTGGCTGGATTCTCTATTACTTCATACAGTAGGTAATAATCAATCAATACCTATTGGCTAGGTTGTCAACTAAATGTACATGTAAGAACCCTTTACTGCAGACAGAGGGAAAGGGTTTGTGTGAGCTCTTATTGGTATATGCTGTGCTCGATAGCTATATTAGTTAGGAATGCTTTAACATGTCTGTCAAAATTCTCTCAGCCCAACCCAGGAACCAACTTCCAGACTTTCTGATAAACTCAGATTAAACTATATTATGTGCTTCATTTTCCAAACAAAGCCACATTGGAAGAAAGTAGTGCCTTTCACAATGGCACCAGTTAACAATAAAGAAAAACTAACAGCAGGGATCTGTAGTTGCAAATCAGATCATAATAGACCTGAAGCCAAAGGCAAATAGACTTCTATAATTTAAGTTTCTCTTTCATTTAGGACAATTGTACCTGGTTTTCAGAGAAATGTTGGAATTACATCAGATGTATGCAAGAAGCTTGTTCATCTGGGCTTCTCATACTCTCAACCTTCCAAAACGAAATGGAAAGCTATTTTCCTGAGCAATAATATCCATTAGCTTTATATTTTTAATCTTCTGACTATAGTGGGTGTCTTATCCATTTTAAAGAAGAGAGATATCTGCTGCCAGTATTTTAACTGAAATAGCTCTAGTCTAGTCTGCCATTCCCATTAAGGCAGACTAGGACAAACTGCTTTTTGGTTCTGATCCTTATACTTTTCCAGAACAAGTATCAAGAACAGATTTATCTTGCTGTCCCTTAATAGCCAAAATGCGGATAAAATACTTTCTCAGGCTCTCCAGAACTGTTTCTTAAATAAACATAGGCTTATAGCAAATAACTACCAGCTGCTGGGAGGGGCAAGGAGGAAGGGATTCTCTGAGTGTCAGAAAGGGATGGTGTACAACTGTGAGGGCAAGGGTCAGTCTGCCTGGAAGCCATGGTGGAAACACAGCCTACTCCCTGCTAAGTGCATTGAGAAGCCTGGACTTCTACCTGGTACTTATCTCACATGGGTTAGGTTTACAAAGGAGTATGAACCTTGCCACTCTAGTGCTGACTAAAATCATTAAGGATCTTGAGACTGTACTGCTGTCCCTTAATGGGACCCCTCCCCCTCCTTCCTTGTTGAGGTGATGACCATCTTGATGAGAACAATTTCAAACTCTCTTGCTCTTTTGAAGACATCTGCCAATGCAAACTCTGCCAAGTGCTATCAGAGCTGACCTTAGGGGTGGGCAATTGCTCAGGCCATGGTCAGAGGGGTGCTACACACACATGCACACGCATGCATGAGCAGCCCGTACTCACGGCAGTGCTCTCCCCCTTGCCCTGCCCTGCCCCAGGTGATCCCTGCCCCAGGGTGGGCAGTGTGAGTGGCAGCAGTGGTGCCTGCCTGCCCACCTGCCTGGTGCACCATGCTGGTACACCTCCTGACTGGACTGCACCTCATGCCCCTGTCTCAGTTGCTTTGTCCTGCAGCATTTCTCACTGCATCAATATGATGACTGTGACAGCTGAAAATTATATCTGTGTGATAAAGGTGCTTGCTGAAGGCTCTATGAAGATTAGACCAAGTGTTTTTCTGCCTTTTGTTTAAATACTAAGCTATACGTTGTTGCTAAAAGCCTAATTAAAGTTTAAGATGTAGTAAGGCCTTGTATAAAGTAAGTAAATTGCTAATAAATTTAGCAAAGCCTTGAAGTAGTAATGCCCTGTGGCATAGTTAAAAATAACCTTATCAGAAGAATGCAAAGGCTTGTAATGCGGTTGGTGAGTCTAAGGATAGTTGAAGTAAAAAGAATCTGAGTGGCTGTAAGTTATCAGAACAGTTCAGAAGTTATAAATTGGCTGAAACATCCGGAAATCATTCAGAAAGAAGATACAGCTCCATGAAAAGGATTAATTAGCTGTTGACCTGGATCAGTAGGCCCGTGGATCTCGAGGAGCCCAAGGACTGAATACCAGGGTCCTTCCCAGTACCTCTCGGACAGCGCTGATCGGGGACGCCTGACTTCACTGAGCTTTGTAGAAAGAGAAACTTGTCATACATCAGGCATCAGAGGGGACTGCTGATAAGTTGCTAATGCAAATTATTCTTGTCTGTTATTGTTTGTTTTGCTACTATGCGTAGTTGTGTTTTTGTTAAGTCAATAAAATTTTCTTACCTTTCTACCCCCCCGACCACACTCTCAATCAATCCCAAACCCTCCACAGGTGGCTGGGACAGATGAAAAGGGCTGTAGTTGCTGGAAGCACAGAGCCAGGGCTGGACTGCAATAATGGGTTCTCTATCACTTCAGGAAAGGTGGCCCAGCATGTGTATCTAGATTTCATGATTTTGTCAGCAGCTTTAGAATTTTTATTTACCTTCAGTTCTTGAAAACAACAAGCCACTGTTTCCTTGTCTATAGGTCTCAAATTTATGATCAAGGAAGGAGGAATAAATGGCTCCATTTAGTTTTGCCAGTAACATGGACCTTGTCAGCATTAAGAAAATTGCTTGCAGTGTATGCATGTGAATGTAGTCAGGTGCTCGGCCACAAACCTCAAGTATATGCAAGCTGTATTGGTGCAAGGTGGGCCTGGCAACTGTCTCCTAGTGGGTAACCCTACATGCTGTATACCAGGAATGGCCCCAGTGCTTCTCATCTGCAGGTATCAGGCCGCACTGGTGTAACTCCATAGCTGTGCAGTCTTATTAGACAGTTTTAGCCTTCATTTTGAGTACTCTTTTCTGACAGGTTCAGGGATAGGTACACACTACACTGTTCAAAGCTTCAGGTGGTGATTCGATTCAGAAGAGATTTGTCTCGATTCGGTAGACAAATCTCTAAATCCCAATTGAATCAGGACAAATTGGAAGGTACAAAATTAATTCAAAGTTCCCTGAATCTTCGAAAAATATTTGGAGAGCTTTGATGATTCAGGCAGTCTCTGGTGGCTGCAGCAGGGAGCTGCAGCGGACCCATTTCAGCGTGACACAAGGGGTAGGAACCAAAAACCCGGGGTAGGAACCAAAAAACCAGGGCTCCGTTTCCGGGGGGACCCATTTAAGTGCGACACCGGGGCTAGGAACCAAAAAACGGGGGTAGGAACTGAAAAACCAGGACCCTGTTTCCGGGGGGACCCATTGAAGCATGACACCGGGGGTAGGAACCAAAATAAGGGGTAGGAACCCAAAAACTGGGGCCCCGTGACAGGGGGACCCATTTAAGTGCGACACCAGAGGTAGGAAGCAAAAAACGGGGGTAGGAACCCAAAACCCGGGGCCCCATGCCAAGGGGCACCCATTTCAGAAAAACACCGGGGCTAGGAACCAAAAAACGGGGGTAGAAAACCAAAAACAGTGGCCCCGTGCCCAGGGGGACCCATTTAAGCATGACAGAGGGGGTAGGTACCAAAAAATGGGGGTAGGAACCCAAAAATTGGGGCTTCGTGCCCGGGGGGACCCATTAAAGCGCGGAACCGGGCCTAGAATTAAAAAAATGGGGGTAGGAACCGAAAAATGGGGGCCCTGTTTCTGTTGAGCCCCAGCTCAAGTCTGGGATCGTGCCCGGTATGCAAAAGCCAATAAAGATACCAGGGGTGAAAGTATAAAGAAGATTTATTGCTAGCAATACACGGTGCAAGCGGAATAATTTCACGGCACAATTTCACGTAACAAGCACACAGAGTCTTAATTATGAGCATCTTTTATACAGGAGGATTGGACCTTTATAAGCATTCTTGTTTGCTAATTGGTTATAAGGGAGTGACGCAAGGAGTTCTTTACTGAGCATGTCTCTATACCTGTGTTTTAGCTATGTATCTCATTTCCATACATGTATGTTTCATTAGCATACTTTCTCCCCACCTAGGGGTGTGATTTTTGGTATTTAAATTAGCTCTTTGCCCTAGTCCTCTGATTCTGCTTTTGTTTTCAAGCCTCCTTTATCTAAGACTGTCTCCTCCTTATCATTGCAGATGGGCATTAGTTACATAACAGAGACTTTTGCTTGGGCTTTGTATAGTGGTTTCTAGGTCAAACCTGACATTTCCAGGGGGGAGCCACTGAAGCGCGACACCGGGGATGGAACCTTAAAACGGGGGTAGGAACCCAAAACCCGGGGCCCCGTGCCCGGGGGGGGGGGACCATTAAAGCGCGACACCGGGGGTAGGAACTAAAAAACAGTTGTAGGAACCCATAAACTAGGGGCACCATGCCCGGGGGGACCCATATAAGCGTGACACCGGGGCTAGGAACAAAAAAAACTGGGATAGGAACCGAAAAACCGGGGCCCTGTTTCTGGGGAGACACATTGAAGCGTGACACCGGGGAAGGAATCAAAAAACGGGGGAAGAAACCCAAATACAGAGGCCCCGTGACCGGGGGGACGCATTTCAGTGCGACACCAGGGGTAGGAACCAAAAAACGGGGGTAGAATCCCAAAAACCGTGGCCCCGTGCCCGGGAGGACCTATTTAATCGAGACACTAAGGGAAAGAACAAAAAAACGGGGCTAGAAACCCAAAAACTGGTGCCCTATTTCAGGGGGGACCCATTTAAGCGCCACACCAGGGGTAGGAAGCAAAAAACGGGGGTAGTACCCATAAACTGGGGCGGAGTGCCTGGGGGGAACCATTGAAGCGTGACTTCGGGGGTAGGAACCAAAAAATGGGGGAAAGAACCCTAAAACCAGGGCCAGGTGCCCGGGGCAACAGTCTGAAGCACGACACTGGGGGTAGGGACTAAAAAAGGGGGTAGGAACCCAAAAA